AATTTTCGAAATTTTAATTATTTGACATTTTCAAATCGACATTTTAATTTTCGATATTATCATTTTCGACATTTTAATTTTCGATATTTTGATTTTCGACATTTTGATTTTCGATAAAAAGTGTTCGATATTTTGAATTCGATATAATGAATTTCGATATTGTGAACGTCACCCAAAATTTTTATATTATAGGGAAAAAAAGTTATGACATAGCGGGATGAAAAGTAATTTAATAGCAAAGTTCCTGTAACCTACAAAATTACTCATTTGTCAAAAATTTTTAGTTGGTTATTGTTTCAATTCGAGTTTTCGATATATTTCGATAAAGGTATTGTAAAAATAGCGTGCATAACTCGGCCAAAAAGGCAATGAATGCAATTCGTTTCATAGAAGGAAGCTTCCTAATTCGCATGAAAACTAAAATCCATTAATTTACAGATAAAACAAAAAATTGTGGACTCGTAGTCACCAATAAGCAAGTAGTTGGTTAATTCGAAGGTGGTGGCTCGTGTTTCCTGAGTTTGGTCTGCCTTGTTCTATAGCAACACTGTGTTGTGTAGATTATTATTAGGCTTTCTAAAAATACATTTAAATTCTAAAAATACATCCATGTAACTATAGTTACCTATATAACATTATGTTTAAAAAGCTAGTGATTATTATTCGTATTTTGTAAATAAATCTATTGAACAACTTTTTCATTGTTAATAAACTTTTTTGAATTAAATTTGCATATAAAACATAAGCAGGTGTTATTTAATTATAATTTTATAATAAATTATATACGACCCAAGTACGTGACTAAAACTATAAAAAACTTATTATATTTGTTTTAAGGTAACTTTAATGGCTAGAGCTCCCCACCTCAATTTTAAATCAATTTCTTTCACGATAACAAACCTAACCAGTCCTTTTCCTGTTTGGTGGTTGGACATATCGTGTTGTTTAATTTATCGCGTATGTTCTTTAAACAACAAAACATTAACATATGGCATCAATTTTATTACAAGTTTCACGCCCCAGCGTGAACCAAAGCAATTTGTACCTAAATTGAATATACCGCACGCCATTTGAATTAAAATTAACATTAATGACATGTATCAACCCCAAATACCACGTAGGGGACCTTTGTATTTTTTACAGTGTTCTCCAAATGCAAAACACATTTAAATATAAAGAAAACACGAAAAACGGCATGATTACATTGCCTAGTGGTCCTGCATAATTAAATATGACTGCAGGCTTTAACCGGAAAGGGTCACAAAAAAAACTTGTTAAACTATTTATTAGTCCATCATTATTATTTAATGTATTTTTTATAATAATAATACATTTCCATTTTTATACAAAGCGGAATAGTTACTTTTATACCAAAAAGCTTATAAAATCGTCTTGAACAGTTATTTTTAATAAAAATGTTCTTGTCATTATTTGGGAAAAAGCAAAACAAAGCTTGTTGTTGCTGCCATGTTGTTCAATTTTCTTTTATTCTAAAAATATCATGGATATTGTATTGATGTAGTTAAGGGTCTCGGGACACTTTTTTTAATATAAGCTGCGCACCACTCAATGTGTCGCGACCAAAAAGTTCGTCCTTTTTCAAAACGACATAACTTTTTTGTTTCTTCAACGATTTTATTTTGGTCTGTGATGTCTGCTAACCCCATCCTCTGGCAATTCATGCTATATATATTAAGCATAAGGTTCTTCAAGTAAATTTTCTACAGGGTGATATGTAAAACGGTGAAAAATTTCAATAACTTCATCCAAGCCCCGTTTGTAAAACAATAATTTTTTTTTGTTTTTACTTTGAAATAATGATGTATTATGTGTTACCTTGAAACGTTTTTAGCAACGAAAATATGATTTTTTTTCCAAAAGAGTACATTTAAGGCTTTTTGGTAGGCAATATATTCAGTCTTTTTAAGAACAAGAAAATAAGATGGTAAAAGATTCTTCCTTGAATAATTCTGAACAAGCGATAAGCAACAAACTTCCATTATTTTCAGAGGGGCCTAAGCAAAGACCACTTTTTGAAAATGACATTTTGGTGAAAATTTGCGAAAACTAAACCTGAACCGATATTTACGTTCGTGACATGTTTTTTTTTAATTTTGACCTCCTGATTGTGATTCAGTTGTCAAATTTAAGTTTCAGATAAAACCAAAATCATCAAGAATTAAAATTCGAAAACAATTCCCTGTTGTTAAATGTCTTAATAAAATCCGATTGCTGTCGTGTTTCTTGCATATTTATGATGAAAATGCCATTTGGGGATTCATTTTTTGCGAAATTACTGCCATTTTTGTTTGAGTGGTTAGGATAATGTTACATAACTTACATTTACATTGCGCAGTAGTGATAACATCATTGATAAGTACCTACCTAATTAATAATAAAGTTAAATAAAAATATTTTTGTTCATTTTTGAAAATTGTATGCGTAGATATAATCATAATCAAAACTTCAACATTCAACAGAAAAATGTAACAAACAATAACAATAATACCTTTCAATATTTCGTTGGCCCTCCCCTAAGCCGTAATAATTCGTTAACCCTCCTGGGCATTCCCTCGACCAAGTTCCTTAGAAATTTTTGGGATACTTCATTCTTCCTGAATAGCATTTACCTATTCATCCAAATTTTTCATGCCTCCTTCCCTCTCTTTCATCTTCAATTTTATCCTGCTCCACACATGCTCAATAGTATTCATATCCGGAGACAAAGGTGGCCAATTCATTTTCTCAATACGGTGGTCCCTTAAATACTCATTTACGATATGTAAAAAAAAAGTAAAAACCAGCAATCGGATTTTATGGACACATTTAACAGCCGGGAATTGTTTTAGAATCTTGATTCGTAGTGATTTTGGTTTTATCTGAAACTTAAATTTGACAACTGAATCACAATCAGGAGGTCAAAATTATGAAGAAAACATTTTACGAAAGTAAATATCGGTTTAGGTTTAGTTTTTGCAAACTTTCACAAAAATGTCATTTTCAAAAAGTGGTCTTAGCTTAGGCCCTCTGAAATAATGGAAGTTTGTTGCTTGTCGCTTGTTCAGAATTATTTAAGGAACAATCTTTCACCATCTTATCTTCTTGTTCCTGAAAAGACTGAGTGTATTGCCTAAAAAAAGCCTTAAATGTACTGTTTTGGAAAAAAAATTATATTTTCGTTGCTAAGATTCCAATTCGAAAAATTTGAAAAACGTTTCAAGGTAACCCATAATACTTCATTATTTCAAAGTAAAAACGAAAAAAAAAATATTTTTTACAAACGGGGCTTGGATAAAGTTATTGAAATTTTTCACCGTTTAACATATCACCCTGTAGGGTTTACTTGACCAACCGTGACCTTCATATCTATAGCATAAATTGCCAGAGGATGAGGCTAGCAGACATCACAAACCAAAATTAAATCGTTCAAGATACAAAAAAGTTATGTCGTTTTGAAAAAGAACGAACTTTTTGGTCGCGACACAATGAGTGGTGCGCAGTTTAGTTCTTCTATAGTTTTAATAAGTTCTTCATACGTACAAAAAAGTGTCACTTTCTATTCTTGTTGCATACATTACTATTTCGTCTCTTAGGGCAATTTTCTCATTGCATCACATTATGCAGGGTGGTCTAACAGATTTTTTGAAAACGCCAAAACATTTTTTTCAATAAATTTCACTTGCAAATCGCAGTAATCACAACCCCCAACCTACATAATGGGCAAGTGATTCCTCATTTGAAAGGTATCATGAGTATCATGAAAAAAATAGTCCTATTAAAATTATAACAGTGCACTTTGTTTCTTATTTAAATAAAGCAAGTACCGAAAAAGAATTTGAGAAAAAATCATGTAGAAAAACTTTTGAATCATAAAAAGGCTCAGTTTTATATGTACACACCATTACTTCAGTTTCATTCAACAATGGTTCACAGTCTTGCAGAAAGAGTTGAAATGATCAGTAAGTGCAGATTATGAAGCAGAATTATTCAATAAACACCATCCGGATAGACATGTAAATAGGAAATTTGTTTTAAAGTTGGTGGCAAAGGTCCAAGAAATAGAATCAGTAGCGAACAAAAAACGGATCTTTCGACCTAAACGTGAACGTCCAGTCAGGAATAAAGCTGCTGATATAGGATTTTTAGGACAAGTTGTTGCTGATTTAAATTTAAAGAAGAGGAAATTAGCTTTGGTTCTTATATATTTTGGCTTACAAGATTCATTTAGTCCATGAATTAAATAAGGACGATTTTGAGGTTTTGATCGGAGACTGCAGTTTTGCGAAACTATGGCTGAACAAATAACTAATGATGACAATTTGCTTTTCAACGTCTGTTTTTTAGATGAGTGCAATTTTTTTTCTTAACTTAACTGTCAATCGCCATAATAATTATTGTCGTTACTGGTCAGATGCAAATCCAAGGGTTTTCCACGAATTCCACACTCAAACTTCTCAAAAACTTATCGTCTGCTTGGACCAATTTTTCTTGATGGTAACCTGACTGCTACTTGGAAGACCACTTAATATTTTAACAAGATGGAGCACCTCCACTCTATTTAATCTTTGGACCGATTGTTTCCTGGACAATGGAAGAGGAGCCCTGGATTGGCCGAACAGATCTGATTTGACTTTCATATACTCTTTTATGTGGGGTCATTAAAAAAGTAAAATTAAACAGAGCCGTCGTCTCTACAAGAGTTCCAACACGTATCGTGGATAAATTCCGTAAAAATGTTAGAAGCCGTTTTGAGCACCTAATAAAATATTAATTGTTATCCAAAAATTTGTCTTTTGGCATAACTTGTAAAGCAACATATCATTAAATACCAATTAACTAATATTTTAATTAAATTTGAGCTGATTATCAAAGAAAATATTGTTTCATGCACTAACGTAACAAAATTGCAAAAGTAATGTGTTGAGGATTTAATAAGAATAATTTTTTTTTAAATTATATGTATTTAAATTGTAATTAATTATTTTTATTATTTATTTCAGCTGTCAGTTCAATGAAGCCCAATATGGATTCTTCGAACTGTATCCTGGTTCAGGATGTTAAGGATGTTACAAATGACCACATGACAATGGGATCAGTTTCCACTCAGTTACCGACCGAAGGTATGTTTAAACTTTCAATGCACCCCATTTTATTTTGTTTATTTCCTGAGAGAAATTTTAACAAAATATGATGCTTTAATATAATAAACTAATTTGATTATTTATGCCGAATTAACAAATATAATTTGTCGTTAACAAAAGCCGCAGGTTAATACTTTGTATTAAATTATATCTCTATTTTGCATTAAAATAATTTAATAAAAGGAGTGAACGGTTTAAAAGCATATTTCCCGGTTTAATATTTTACGTCCTTTAAACTAAAGCATTGTTCTGCAAAAATCAATACATTGGATAAATGGGAGTTCGCATTTTGGTCTGGTACAATATTTATCCTATAATAGAAACTTTTGCATTTGGGTTAATTTGCCAAACACTAACAACTGGGTTCCATTAGTGCTGATAAACCTAATTAATTTTAAGTTTTATACATTTTTAATGTTAACAAGCTTTGGCAGTTAATGGAAACTAAAAAGTAAATAGGGTATTTTAAACTTTTTATACATAAAACAATATTAATCACAGACCAGGTCTGTGATATTAATTAAATTATATACAACTTGGCGTATTTTTTGGGTCAAGTAAAATATTGACATTGTTATTTGTTATTTTAACTTTGCCTACTGCTATTATTTATTTTAATATTATTTTAGAATACTTAAATGTATTACAAATTTTTTTGCTTTGTTTAATTTTTGTTAGTAGGATTACAAAATTTAATTTTAATTAAACAAATATAAATCAAATTAAAAAAAAAACACTGAAATTTATTTAGAAAACATTTATACGTTACGTTAATACGAAGTAAGTCAAAGGGTCGTAATTTTTTGGTAATTTATTTTTTTTAGTAGTAAATTTTTTATTTTTATTTTAATGGTCCCAACGGGAGGTGTACTTTTAATTTCTCAATTGCCATTAAACATAAAATCCAATATCTGCCAAATGACCTCCTCGGCTTTTTGGACAGCAAACCATTCTTTTACCCAATTTTAGGACTATATTTTCACCAAAATGTATTACAATTTCATCCATAGCCCCTAAAATATTGTCTTCCAACTATGGAAGCATTTGTCGATCGTTTGCGTAGACTTTGCTCCTTAAATTACCACAAAGAAAAAAGTCAAGTGCTGTTAGATTGCACGATCTCGGTAGCCAACTGATGTCGTCATTTGGAGAGGTTACACGACCAGAAAACTATAGCACAATAAAACGATTGCTTCATTCGCTTTTTCACATTTTACACCATCTTGTTAAAATTGCATGTTTTCCAAGTCAATAGCATATGATACACGATAACGTTTGTCACCACATGGAGACATCAATTGGCCATCTAGATCGAGCGACTTAACACCACTTGGCTGTTTTCTTTGGGGTTATTTGAAGAGCAAAGTCTACGCAAACGATTCACAAAGACTTCCACAGTAGTCAATTTTTGACGGGCTCTTGGTAAAATTGTAAAACATTTATGTGAAAATGTAGTCCAAAACTTGGATATTGCATTTTATGTTTAATGGCAATGTTTGAACTTTATTTTGGAAAACACTTGGAACTAGATTTGCCAACAATATCTTAACCTTTTATGAAACAAAAAATAATGTTATTGCTTAAAAACTTTTTTACATTATCAGGCTAAAAATCAAAAAAACTCTCCTCTCTTCTATAAATAAAGTTGAAATTTCCCTTTTTCTTTTTTAATAATACATAGTAGAACAAATTAAGTCCTCCTTATTAGTTTGGAAGGATAAAAGACATTTTCTTCAAAAGATGATGTTCTTTTTTGCTAAAGGAACCTTACTTATCAAAAGATAGGGTAGAATTTATTTGAATTTTTAAAAATAAATCTTTTTAATGGATTTGTTTAGTCTTTATTACTAACTTCTCATTTATTCAATGTATTGTTTTCAATAACAGTTTTTGTGAGGAATTATGTTAACTTAAATTGCCAGGCGATTGTAATCATAGTACTTTAAAAGACTTTAAATATTCTATAATAAATTAACAACAATATTTTATTTTGTTTTAGAATCGCTTCCAACAAGTACAGCAGAGCATTCCAGCGCAACAACTCAGCACAGTTCTTTGCAGGCCCCTCAACAAAGACCGCAAACTCAGTGGCCACCGCTCCCGTTGCTGGAACAACGCGAGCTGGACGTGCTACACACGGCTACAATACCGCCATATCAGTTTTGGAATTCAGAATTTCGCAACAAAAATCCTGCATTTATAAGGTAAGATTTGTCTTTTGTGTTTTCATTTTAAAACCGACTTGGGTACATCTGTTTAAAAAAAAGGTGGTGGACCTATTTTTAAGGGACCAGTTGCGGCCATGGGCGCCCATACCTATTGCCCCTTGGACATTTCCAACCCAACTCTGCAAAATATATTTGTAACAATATATGTTGCATGTTGCATGTTTTATTTTGGTAATATATTATTACTAATAACTTCATTTTATTTAATTTTAAATGGTACCTACTTTTGAATAAGAAAATTGACAAAAATTACTATTACTAGTAACCACTAATGATCTGCCACTGGAACTCCGTTAATAAATATCTATACCCCAGAGCCAAGTCCAGTTTTTAAAATCAGTTTATATATTTTTTTGCCTACATTTTTTCAAACAAAGCTTCTCTCTTAAAATGAATTAGTCAAAAATAATTAATTATAAGTCATATTTGACCAATTGTCATAGCGAAAAAACAGTCACTTATAATTAGTCAAATTCTACTAAATGAAATAGTCAAATTAGTAGATTTAAATTTAAAAAAAGTTTTGACCCAGCCGGGGATTGAACTCAGGGTTATTACTTGTCTAGCTTGTCAAGCTGTTGTCATAACCCATTCGGCTATCATCCGCTCTTAAAAAAATCAATTTTATTTGTCAATAAATATTGTTCATAATATTGTAAAGTTAAATATATTATTTGTGTTGCTGTTTTGAGCTTGATTTATGGGTCATTTAACCATGGATCTTAGGTATAGGCGTTTAATTCAAATAATACTTTGTTATTGGCCGCAATCGATTAAAGAAATTAGTTACTTTTAACTCTCAGAAATAGTCAAAGATGGTGACTTATCTTAAATTAGTCAAACTTTAAATATTTACGTAGTAAAAAATAACTATTTAAAAGTGAAAACGACTATTTTATTAGTAAAAATGTTGGTACTAATTCAAATAGTAGAATTTTGACTATTTCATTTTTAGAGAGTTTATTCTATTATTTTAAATATTTTGTTTTGTGGAAAACGTGACCTAGCTTTAAGAGGAAAAAATAATAATAACTTTTATATTCAAGGGCAAAAAAATTGCAATAAAAATATGTTTGATAGAAGATTAATTAAATAATTAATAAATTAACTTATATTAGAAATTGCTGTAACACTTTTTTAACCGTAAATCCAAGTTTTATATACCAAAATATTTTTATATTGAATTAAATTTTTAATATGAAGTACATTTTAATTTTATATATTTTGACAATGTATTTTTTCTATAACTATAACACTGGCTAACAGTAATTCTGGTAAATATTTTTTGGGTAATTTGGGTGAGTTGATTTCATTTTGCTCAATCAGCTCTTGTTTTCAAGATATAATTAAAAAAGTTTTGATATACAACCATTTAAATTCGTACATTTTTAATAAAATAGCAAGGATCATTGGTAATGTAACTATAGGTAGTAATTAAATTGCCAAAAATTAAATTATAAAAATTGAAGTTTTTACCCTTAAAAATCATGTTTTTAACATAATAATAGAACATTATGTATCAAATTTGATAAACGCCTTTTTAGTCAGGAATTTTAATTAAGCCTAAGCGAGCTTGCGAGCGAGTGTTTAAATAAATGAGTGTCTAAACAAGTTACATATTATACTTTTTCTACAAATCAAATTTTTATGTGTAAATCGTACATTTCAATTGCCTTGAAAATGAACTTACAACAGTTTTTCACAGTTAAAGTGAAGAAAATGTTTTATGGGCACTCCACGGTGGAGTCTCTACCCGAAATTAAGTAAAATCTAGTGGCGAAATTAAAAAGTTACTACAATGTTCATATAAACTTTTTAAATATTGGCATTCAAAAACTACTTAGTACTTTTGTATTTTTGTATTGAGATTATTATTATTTTATAAGAAGGGCACTTTATTTTAACGATTGTATGACATTTGACAACTGTCAACTAACTTAAACTAACCCTAGCCCTTGACTAAAAACCTGTTGCTAACTTCAGACCATGACTAAAACGTCATAAAGCCACAACTTGACAGTGTGTATTTAAAAGGTCACTTAGTGTCATGAAAACATGTACGATAATGGGCGTTTTAAAGGTGGGAGTATAAAAAATAGTTTTTAACCAAATTTCGGCTGTTAAATTTAGGTTTTTGGTACTTATTTATGTTATCCCTGGCGAAAATGAAATGTGCAAAAAGTGTGCAAAATTATTTGAGAACAATGTGCAGAGGGTGGGAAATGGAACATGAAACAATGTGCAAAACCAAAAATTTACCATTTATCACGCTTATACACCTTTCTATAGCACATTAACAGTGTGTATAAAATGTGATATGCGTAAGATAGACTCAAGCTTTGCAAAATTGTCTTTAAACAATGTACTAAAACTGTGCAAACAATGTGCAAAAAAATAATTTAATATAAGCGTGACAAGTGACAAATAAAAAGCGTGATGTCAATGTGCATAAAGAGTGAAAAAACTTAATTATTTCAAAAAGTGTGACATTACCACAAAATAGCGTCTATGCGCATTGTTATAAAGACTTGCACTCTAAATACACACTTATTGCACACTTTTCGTGCACGCTTTATTTTTGCCAGGGATGGGCCTTTGCTTTTTGTATTATACTTAAATAACATAACAAAATATATAAATTACTGTCAAGTTAAACTTTTTTTGGATGATAAAATGATTTATATTTATAAACTTTTGAGTGAGAAGCAAAGAATATATTTTAGGACTATGGAATATATAAACAAAATGAAACATGTTAAAGTACCAAAATATCTTTGTGATAATTTAACTATTTACACAATTATTAAACAGTAAATAAAAATGATTTAATATAGAAACTGGGTGAGCTTTAAAATATATGAACAATATTTTTAAAAATGGCCTTATTCTATTTAATAATTTATCATCAAGACCAATCACTGATAATTTGGAAATGGTTTTTAGAATATCCTGTTTATTGTAACATTTAACAAAAATAAGTATCTTCCTTAAACGCTAAAACAAATATTTTTCATTGGCAATTTTTTTTATTGCTACTATAAATTTAAGATGGTGGGAATTTAGGGCGGGTCAAAATTTACATTTTTATTTGGTATGATGCAAAAAAGTTTTTTATGATTCTAATAAAAAAGTTTATTTAAATTTTGTATAATATATGCAGGCTGGCCCGCAGTGGACAAATCAGTCAATATCTGAATTTATTACTAAAGCAATTTATATCCTTTTACTTTAATGATTTAAGATTAAAAATCTTTTTGTAATGTAATATTTTAATAATATGGATAGTATTCATTGGATACTTTTAATAATAAGAAAGAAAAATAAATTGTAAAATATATGTGACGAGGATTTCTGGATTATGATCGGTATGGATTAATTAAATACTGTTTTTTAATTATCTGAAGCAGAAAATAATTTTTCTTGAATATTTAGCATGTAACAACGCTTTAAGCATTTTCCTTTTATCCTGCCGTCTAGCGCGTTCAGCTGGTTTCCTTTCTCCTCTAAAATTATGAGTTTTATAAATAATGATTATAATAGTTTATTTATGAAAGAGTGCTCTTTAATTATTTGAAATCAGAAATAATTTTCTTTAAATATTTTCCACGTAACAAGTTAAATATTCTCTGTTTGGCCTCCCATTTAACGCGGTTCTTTCCTTTCTCCTGTAAAATTAGGGCTGGGACGCTTTTCTCGGAGCGCGTACATATTGTATCTTTAAAGCAATATAAATAGAGCAGCGTTAAAAATATATTTCTTTACAAAATTCAATATTTTCAGATTCAATTTCACTTTACCCTGGGGTGCAAACTTCGCAGTGTACGGCAGAAGGAACGTTGCGCCAAGTGTTACACAATACGATTTTGCTGAGTTCGTGAAAGGAGGACGATTGGACCATCGATTAAGAAAACGGGATGTTGATGAGGATGAAGAAGACGATGACGATTTTCCACCATCCAAGCATTACCATTACCCATCCGACCACAGAAACTCGTATAAAAGTGATGTTTTGGATAGCATATCTAGCTCTTATGAAGGTAGGGGAACCCTATTTTTAATGATATTTAATAAAAAATGCATGGTAAAAACATTTTTATTTTTAAATATTTACGACAAATAAACCGTAATCACATGCTAATGGCCCAATTGTCAAACATTTTTAATATATGTAAAGTGGCATGCCCTCAATTTTTGTGTTTTTGTTGATTCTTATATAAAAGAGTGGTTTCTTGCTACTTGCTTGGCTAAACAGTTTTTGGTTCATTTATTTGAAATATTGCTTTAGGTACGAGAAAAATTCTCGCCGATTCAGAACCAAAAGGTCCATTCTACGTTCCTCACAGTATCAAAATTAACTACCCTGAACGACCATCAACCGATCTACCGCACCCAACCTCAGATTTAGGTTTAACATTGGACTCTCACGTCATCTCAAAACGCGAGACCGGTGAGATGGAACCGATGTTGGTGAACGTTTCTCTCCTTCAATACTTGGACACCGGCAGATGGTTCCTTTCGGTTTATAACGACGAGCTTCAACCGTACACGGTTTCCTTGGTGATTTCTGAAGCTGAGGGTGTCAGCACTACCTGTCCGAATGATTGTTCCGGGCGAGGGAGTTGCTACTTGGGAAAATGCGACTGTATTGATGGATTCCAAGGAGTCGATTGTTCGAAAAGTAAGTAAAGTTTAAAATCGAACTATTACTAAGAAAATAAAAACTTTTAAAATTTAATACGTTTAAGAATTTTCTATATATTATGTAAATTTAACTTTAGTTGGCTGAATAAAACTTAGCCACTTAAATTTTACATATAAAGACGGTTTGTGTTGCGAAGTTTTATGCGATTTAACTTATAGTTCTTAGTCAATGTATATGTTAGACACAAACTTTGTAAAACTACTGAATTAAAAGGAATATGCTTACGTCTCGACTACATGCAAAAATGATGAAAAGCTAAAATGGTGAGCTACAACAACGATTATCACAACAAAAATATGATAAAACTATTTCGTAGCGTAAGTTTCACAGGGTTCTTTTGGTCAAAATTAAGATACGCATGTGGTTAAATTCTGCATCGTTTAGTTAAAGCACATATAATTTTCTTATAAATGGATTTGCATTGAAGATAAGAATTACATAAAACATTGCTAAATTATTATCGTAAATCACAAAGTTAAGAAACAAAATAACTTTATATTTTTACATGTGTTTAGTTAAGTTATTTTACTAATTTTTATTTGCTATTTACTTAATAACAAATAAAAGTATAACATCGCACTATAAATTACGTTTTAATATTTTAATTAGAAAGGTACGTACGTAGTGTTTTAAAAAGTTCTTTTAAAGTTTTCAATTTTAGAATTTACACGTGTAGGTTTTTTATATTAAACACGTTATTAATAGATTTTAATCTAATACTTTATATTTTACAATGTTCGATATAAATCATACTAATATTTGACATTGCAGACCATAATAATGCTCTTCTGTAAAATTCACCAAAATCTACTTGAAACCTTGTGGAACTCACAAGACGAGTTGATAATAAACTAAATTAGTTTTAAACTAAATGCACAGAGAAAAAGCTTTTAATTGTGAATGGGTTACCATTGAGCCAATGGTGTACTGTATTTCAATACCTGAATTAAAGCTATGATCAAATGAATAATTGTCTTACTTTTATTTGTGCAAACCTGCTTAAAATTAGTTCAAACATAAGAAGTCATTGAATTAAATTGTGATTCTATTAAATCCGTATTAAAACTTAGTTAGTTAAAACATAAGAAATTATTGAATTAAATTATCATTTAATTAAAGCCACAATGAATCTTAATGAAAAACTATCATTGGTATAAATATAGTTATGGTTTCTAATGAATGGCTACATTAAATGCAATCAAAGCTCTATTTCCTTTAAATATGTATATTCTTGTGAAAATATTAGTTGTATAATACATTAATATGAACTTTAAATAAAATGATTTCTGGAAACTGCTTCTGGTAGTCTTGGGTACACAGGTTTTTCGATCCCTAAAATGAAATTGTTTAGTTTTCTGTAGGAACTATTAGGAACCCACTAGAAGTGTTTGTGATATTAGGCTCTAAAAAGTTGGTGACCCATCACTAGCAGGATCTGTCTGCCATGGCACATAGTTATTCTAAAACGAAATAGGAATTTCATCTTATGTATATATTTAGAGGCGAATCCTAAAGATTGCTGAGTCCTAAAGCAATATATACTTTCAGGACGCCCTGAAAGAATATCATGATGGTACTAAAAGAGTATGAGAAGTTTTTTTATAAATATATAAATACTTCGTCTATTTAAGCAAAATAGCTATTTTAAGGCATGACACCGAATATCAAGATAAACTGTGTCCATGGTATATAGGTACCTATATGAGAACACATTTACCTTTTTTTATTATTTAGATATAATTGAGTAATTAAATTACTGGATAATGCATGGCGGACATACAATTAAAAAACATGTACAACTTACCTTGAAAATTCGGGATTAGGAAGTACAACCCCCAAGAAATTAGCAAATATACCGATTAATCAGTTGGTCACATTTAACTATAGGCACGTACGCGATTGCAGGTTGCCGATGTGTGGTGTGGCAGGGGATGCCCTGGCACGTTTGTCTGAATTTTAGCAATAATTAAATTGAATATAGGCCGCATTAAAAAATTGGGCAAATAACAAGTATTTTCATTGGTATTCACTGTAAAACAGTAATAACTTTCTTTACCTAAGTTTCCATTGGAATAAAAATCATAAACATTAAATAAACAAAGACTATTCCTATTTCATTTGTTTTTTTTTGGTTGAAGCATTATAACTTTTAATATAAATCAATGTTATATTTAATTAAATATTGTTAATTTTACATTGATCAGATAAACTTTGAATGCAATCATTTCCAAAATTTTCAAGGAAGTACACATTTCCATTAGGTTTAAATCTAAAGAGCCATTCTCCCCTATAACAAGTAATTTTAACTTGATAATATTTTGTTATGGACTGAATATAATATTCTCAATTTCTCCAAACATATTTGATTGAAAAAACTTTTGGAGAAATGAAAAAACAATCAATTATAGCATTGTTATTGACTATATCAAAGCGTTTTTTTTGTGTGATAGCGGTAAAATAACTAAAATGATAACAAGACACAAAAAGACAAGCTTGAATGATAATATGCTATAATAACAATAAACTCATGATAAATGTATTTGCACCGTTTGTTAAAAACTAAAAAAAAAAAATTTGCTAATGGCACAGACATAAAATAAAATTAGACTATTTTTAAATTACGGTTACATAAAGTGATTACAAACTAAAATCCAGGTAAGCTTTAAGGTAAAATGACAAGGATAAAATGATGAAAATATAAAATAAAGATAGTTTGTTTATCTAAATGGTCAATGGGTTTTGTTTTCATATTAAATAAATATTTTTTACTAACCATGACAATTGGAAACCAAGATATATATTTTACAATTTTGTGTTTTTTATGGAATAAATAACATAATTTCCTTTAAAAATAACATTGATCCTCCCAAAAAAACATTTCTTAACGCATCCACCGTAATAGGATCAACTTCGGGTTTACCCCAAATCGAACGGTAACAGTTGACTGTAAGTATTGATTGGAGAAAATCCTTTCTGAAGTATAACGTAAAGGAGGAAAGAATATCTATAAGGGTTACACATAAGTGGAGGTAAATAACGCATGTATAATATTTTTATCCAGTTTAATAAAATTCGACCAATACATACTTTTAAAACCCTTTAAGAGTTTTAAGATGTTAATAACATGTTATTTTAATTATGACATGCATTCAATTTTAACCATTTTTAAAATTAATAAAGCAATAATTTAATTAAAAAGTTTATAACTGTATAGCGAAATTACAATATTAAATTTGGAATTTGCATTTTAGTTTTAGTATGCACATATTTGCTAATTATAGTAAATGGTTGCCAAAATTTCATTATTATTTGATTTTTTATACTAAAATGTATGCAAATTAATTTAACAAATGCATTTACCAGTGCAGATACCTATGTGAAAATTATTTTATTTAAAACACATTTTTAAAATTGAACTCAAACATTAATTTAAAGAGGCATTTTTAAACAAATGTAAATAACATGACAACGTGTATTTATAAATCAATACTTAAACAGAAACCGTTCTACCTGGACGATTCGAAATGTAGTAGAATAATGCATGGCAAAACCAAAAACAAAAAACGTTAAACGACCTAAAATTCCTACAAGAAAATCCACTTTCGGTAAACTAACAAATTCCCCTTGAAAGTTAATTGGCAGTAATAAAAACAACGTACAATCAAAGGGCAAAAACTCTCAACTGTTTCTTTCCAAGCTCACTTCATCTCAATTATCCCGGAACGTAGTATCTGATGTAGGAAAGCTTTTGACCTCACATTAATTAACAAAGACCAAAGGGAATGTTTATCATCCCTTTCCGTTTATAGTTGTCTAAGGTGTTTGTATCCTGAGGTCAAAAGTAAATTTCCAATGAAGGATCATCCTTACTTCTTAAGATTACTAAAGCGCGCAAAGAGAATTTATTTCATATAAGTAATTTAATTCTTTTCAGGCGTCTGCCCTGTGCTATGTTCGGGACACGGTCAATATGGAGGAGGATTGTGCCACTGTGAGGAGGGATGGAAAGGTAAATTCGATTTATCCCAACCTAAAAATATTATGAAAATTCTTTCTTTGTGGTATATGATTGATTGCTCCTCGATAAACATAGGAACCCATCCATCATATATCAATATACTCAGTAACATACATACTAGACATTTCTATCCTATCTTCCAAGAAACCTTTATAATCGATTTATCCTGTACAAACATCACATCTTATTTTTTTACTTTAGGACCGGAATGCGACATTCCGGAATCAGACTGCCGCGTAGCTGATTGCTCTGGTCACGGAAAATGCGTGCGGGGTTCTTGTCACTGCAAACCGGGCTGGAAAGGAGACGGTTGCGAGGAAACCGATTGCGAGGATCCCACGTGCTCCGAACACGGTGCCTGCGTCCATGGGCAATGCTACTGCAAGGCGGGCTGGAAAGGAAACAGTTGCAACGTCATCGATGAACAGGTGCACAAGTGTCTGCCAACCTGTTCCGAACATGGAATTTATGACTTGGAAACCGCTAAATGTGTCTGCAATAGACACTGGACTGGAGCCGACTGCGCACAAGGTAAGAAAACTATTTTAAATCGATAAAAAACGATTTCTATCAAAAACTTTTGCTGACGAATTTACAGCAATAACAAGTCCAAGCGAAGAAGATACGTTTTTTTATTTGTTAATAGGCAAGCATTGAACCCGGAACGATCTCTGTGTATGTGTTATAGGCACAGCCCAGGTTTTACTAATTAATTTTAAGTCTGAAAAGAGGTCAAATTCAAAATTACTTTACTTTACCAATTAATTTTTGGTATATCCTAAAACTAACCAATTCGTCAGTCATTTTAATAAAATCGGCCATTGACCTAAACGTAGTACCTACAGAATATGTTCAGAATTCAATAAAACTTAAATTTAATATTAAGGCCTAGAATTGACACTTCTATGTTTTGACTAAAAATACATTAGCCAAAAGGCTAAACAGGAATCTATTTTGGCTGTCAAAACAGCAAGAAAGTTATCACAAGATGATGTCACAAACATGTTTTCTGTAACTAAAATTTGAATTTACATTTCATGTAGGTAATTAAAATTTTATTTTAAACATTAATCGGGAAATTATTTGAGGGTCAAGTGGACTCACTTAAACTCCACTGGAAAACTGGAAAAATGCGCTTTTTATGCATCTGCCATTTGATAATTCGATGACATTCAGTTCTCTTTGATGCCAAGTGGCCAATTTTTACAAAATTTATCATCATCCGCATAAAAGAGCTTAAACCAAATTTACAAGGTAATTTAATTAATTAATCTTTGATTCACTGAATTTTTAAACAGTTTTAATAGTTATATATTACATAAAACATTTTATTTTGTTTAATGGTTAATTTATTTTTCTGAACATTAATTTAAAATATTATACTAATCTAAAATGTAGGTTTTCACCCAAACACTGCCTATATAATATAATATACAGGGTGGCCCAGAAGTTGAGCACTTCCTTAAAGGTCCTACCGACGGACCCCCAGGTATCCCACAAAATTGTTAAAAATATATAAAAGAGTAAACATTGAGTTTTTAAACTTAAAAATGTTTACCTTTATTATATTCTTTTAGGTCGGATTATATAGGTACAAAATCTATAAATAATGCATTTTAAAACTTCTACTTTAACAATAGGCATGCGTTTGGCAAACATGATATGCAACAATTGATTATCACAACAATTAATTGGTTAATTTTGTTATCTGTTGACATCACACCATAGACAATAATCGACAGTTAAAATTCTATGGTTTTAATAGTTCCTGACAGAGACTACCGTATTTGCTGCTGTCAAGTCTGACTGTTTAATATTGTTGTTTGTTGTCATGATGCTTAGTAATAAATCTACCATTTTATTAGTACGTAATGTTGCCCTGTATAACAATAAAAAGCTTATCTGGAACGTGACTTATCACATAAAATTATACTTTTTATAAGTTTATATACAAAAGAAGTTTTGCAAAATATTCATAACCGTTTATTATGTATTTAAAATATTTTCTGTTTTGTTAAAGCAATATTTTATATTCTTGATAATAACATGAAAAATAATAAAGAGATGAAACTTATATCATAACTTCATAAAAATACAGAGTATTAAATTTTCGTTTGTTTGTTTTTGTTGGAAATTGTATATTTTTAAATTATTATTATTATTATTATTATTAATTACTACCAAATATTAGATGTTGTTTCATGCTAAACAAGTTTCAAGTTTTATTGTTTATTAGTGTGAAAACTTTAATTTTCATGAAACATTTGCATTTACTAACTAGCAAGGATATTTTGAGTATTCTTGTTTGTTTTCAGCACTCTGCAATCTGGATTGCGGTCCGCATGGGCAATGCGATACCGGAAAATGCAGATGCGATCCAGGATGGACTGGATCCAGATGCGAGCAACTTCCTTGCGATACAAGATGTCAGGAGCATGGCCAATGTAAGAATGGAACGTGTGTTTGCTCGCAGGGTTGGAATGGAAGGCACTGCACGCTACGTAAGTCTTCGGTTTTAATCAAATTACAAAAGTATCTGCTGGTTGTAGATTAATTATGCAGCTAATTTCAAAATTAAACATTTAAATAAGCAATCTGCTAACTTTAATGGGAAGTCTTACAAACACATATATCTCAAAAGAGAATAAACAAAAAGAGAGTACACCGTTCTAGTTCTGCGTTTCTGCTTTAAATGATGCGCCTGTTTGTTTTCGCTCGTGGAAGTTGCGTAAGTTATATGGCCGAAGTTCGCCCGTTTCGTAACTCACAACTTTCCTAATCTGCCCTTTTCGGCGATATTTACGACGCGATTTCGGGAGTTGCCCAAACTTACCGGCGCGTTTATTTATTGTTTATCCGTATTCCTTCGTCCCGCATTATCCTTTGTCAATAAGATGACAAGAAAATGAACATGGATAATAGATTTCCTACTGGAGTAGGTAGCGCGTCCCTCAATTCAATTAGGAGAATGAAATGTTTTTTCAAACGTTTCCCGAAACAAAAAACGATAGATTGCATGTCATCCGCAATAGTATATATATATATACTCTTATAATCATGGAAGCGAAAACAAAACAATCAAATCACGCCTCGAAAGCAATAACAGTCGACCAATATTTACTTCTAGGGTTTTTCGCTTCTCAATAAACTGTTACATTGTTTTCTTTGTTGCAGCCGGTTGCGAGAACGGTTGCTCTGGCCACGGCCAATGCAATTTAGAGGAAGGTGTCTACAAATGTTTGTGCATCCAGGGCTGGGCTGGCTCAGACTGTAGCATCCCTCTCGAGATGAATTGTCACGACGATATTGACAACGACCATGGTAAGACAACACTTTACTTTTAGATTTTTTTCAAATTCTTTGTAAATAAATACCAAGTTGAGATTTTTAATACTTTTGAAGAAAATGTATTAAAACAACTTATATCACGATAGGTATACCTAAGAGAGTTATATTTTTATTCGGTTTTTTGCACTTTGCTATTCGTGACATGGAGAAGAGGGCATATTAAATCCCCTATAGAGTGTGACGTACTTTATGAATAAGAAAAAAATATTACGAAAGTAAACTTTAACAATCAGGAAACTGTTTTTTTATATTATTAGACTCAAAAGTCTATATAGAAAGACTTTATATTATTACTAGTTCAAAAGTCAAATTATTATAAAACTCCGTGCAGAAATAAAGATAAAATATCATCATCAGTTAAAACTAAGCTAAAAAAATGTGACAAAATCTTAATAAATTATTTTTAAATGGTTGAAAAAAATAATATATAAAACACGGCGGCAAAAGCCTATTTATTGCCTCGGCTATCGCCTGGTCTATAATGTTCGATAGATATTAAACATCTTTGTTTTATAAACAAAAACTAATATTCTACGGTTTTATTATCGAATAACAAAAACATTCATTGTTTATAACAAATAATCCAAGAAGACCACAAAAAAACAGCCTGAATGGAATTGAAACAAAATACTTCAAAGACTTGTTATAATCAAAGCCACGAATTGTAAAATATTGTCTAGAGAGTTATTTGTTGAGGATAAACAGGTGGTTCATTGATAGAAAATCTATAATATCTTTGTGTTGAATAGTAGCACATTATAGATGAAACCGATATTTTACGTTTCTTTTTTATTATTTAGATGGCATGATCGACTGTTCAGACAGCGAATGCTGCTCTCACGTTAGCTGCCGCGATCACATTATGTGTCTCCATAGCAATGACCCAGTGGAGGTTCTCCTACGTAAGCAACCTCCATCTGTGACAGCCTCCTTTTATCAGCGTGTCAAGTTCCTCATCGAAGAAAACAGCGTACAGTCGTACGCACACATTAACGAATACACAGAAAGGTAAGTGATGTTTTCCGGGACTGTTATTTTTATTAAAAAAGTGTCTAGAGCTTTTCTTAAGTAGTCTTAGGCCAGTAACTGAATGAAAAGACCATTATTAAAAGGCAAAGTAACACATTCAATTAAATACTTTTCCTAGCTATTACATAGCCATTAAGTCATGGCAAGGTAATCAAGTTCAAAAATTAATTATCAGAATGGTGTTCATTTTATGTAATTCATTGAAATGCATTGCAAATCTTTTTTCATCAAGTTAATGTCCTGTTGTAACCAAACGTCTTCATTACATGATAAATTGGAGCAGTAATAGACTTTAACTTGATAAAACAAAACAGTCAGGAAAAATTAGATCCGAAATATTGTGGAAAATAGACATAACCTTATTGATGATAACTTTTTTTTGATTTTACAAGTTTCGAAACACCATCGTAAAGATAAAATTAACTCTGCCTTTTAATAGATAGGTATACATTAACTAAGTTCAGATTTGCTGAAGCTCAGGGACCAGTAGTCACGCTGCAGAAAATATCTGCCCATGGCCACCGTTAATTTTGAAAAAAATAATAATCACGGGACGTGAGGCTTAGCGCTCCGGCACCGCACAAATTCCCTCATATTTTGCGGAGCCAGTCCTGCCAACCACCCAAAAAAACCCTCCCTATTCCCCTGGCTGCGGTAGTACCGCTCTAAAGCCAGGTTACTATGTGTCTTGTATTGTCTAAACCCCTTTGTGTGCGTCAACCTACTTCCGAAGCCTGAGTTCGTCGGTACTACCAAATCTGGCATGGTCTTTGCTAGTACTAATAGTAGGTACTAAAACAACTTAACAAAAATATTAACAAATAAAAAAATAACTCCAAGATATAATATTTGAGTACAATAGCAAATACCATGTTACAGATATCCTTTTAAACAACGGTAATCCTAGATAGAAGAAAAATATAATTATAAGGATTTATAAGCGACTTTGCGTATTATTTTTTAAATATTTATTATTGTTAATCATTTAGCTCTAGGTACGTATACGTACGACTATTGGTGGACACAAGTTACGCGATCAATGTTGTTTCGAATCTCGTACGGCTTTTACATTAAAGTTTTTTGTTCACCAAAATCAGCTTAATATTTTACCTTTTTGATATTCCAGAGGAGCCATCAGACCTGAAAACCTAACTTATTTTAGTTGGCTTTAACTAACAAATTATTGCTTCAACCTGACCTCATTAAAATCATCTGTTTATGTTTTGTATTGTTTGCTAATGCCTCCCTCTAAGCTAACTTGTGTCTGCCCATGTCTGTAGCTAACAAAAAATGTGTTTTGTTTATTTTTTTTTTTAATTTGACTGTGTTAATGTCTAATTGTCTCGTCATAACACCGTATGTTGAATGAAAGAGAGGGAGAAAAAGATAATGCGTTAAGATTATGAGTAAAGTATAACCCTGACAATACCTTTGTCAAAGTTAATACAGTATTTTGTTGTATATTACAAACTTGAGTTATGGAAAAATAATTATTTAAACAAAGATATTATTTGTTTGCTAAATAAAGGTGGGCAGCAATATACTTTACTGGTAATTAAAAAACACTAAACAGGAAAATGTATAAAATTGTAATGTATATTTTTAATGAAATATACCTACATGAACATTTTCTTTGAAAAACGCTTGTGTAGAAATGCTGCATTTAGCGGCAAAATGGTTCTTGATGAAGGTAGAACAACCAACTCAAAATTTTGGGAAAAAAATAAAGTAAACATTGGGTTGGTTGTTTTTCTTTGAGCAAGTACCTGTTCGGTGTGCGTTTAGTAATTGTCCTTGTCTCTGTCTACCCCCTGTGTACGCCGCTGCCACTTTGAAACAAATAACAAATTCGTAGCGAGTTTTGGAACTCCTTCACGCCGCGGTAAGTCGCAGCATTTCCCCAGAACAAAGATTCTGTACTGTCTGTCTGTCTGTTCTACGTCGTTTGTACGTGTGCCGCCTGTGCCTGTGCTCCCCTTTATAAAAAATTGCTGCATTCCTTCCGAACCCGACAAGCGACTTAATAAATACAACACATCAAATTCATGTTTTTAATCATAATAAAGTTTGTATTTTTACATTAGGTTGTTTTTAAGAACATTAGATTTTTCAGATTCCTTTAAAGTAGAATCTATTTGATTTTAAATCAAGTTCATAATAGACAATATTTTAAAACAAGAATAACAGGATAAAGTTTAAGTCAAATCTTCAACTTTATCACGTTAGATTTTTGAGTTGTTTAAATTAAAAGTGACTGCTGGTGGAATTTGGGTACACCCATATCTCAGTTATTAGACATGGGACCCACATAAAACTTATATGAGTTTATAATGACATTATATAGACAAGTTCTGCGCAAGCAGAATTTAAATTGAAGTTTGAGAAAAAAAGTTAGTTTTTTAGTGTCCCCCCCAGCCTCCTGCTCCCCCAATTTTAGATAATTCAAATTAAAATTTATAATCCTCTACAGTTTATCAACAAATTTCAAAATTTATTTAAATAGTCCAAGTATTACAGATTTTATTCTATTTTAAGTAAAAGAAATAATAAAAATTTAAAATGGTATATAACCTGTATTACTTGAATTTTTTTAATAAAATTTAAAATTTGACGATAAACTTCAGCGAATTTAATATTGTACCACTTTAATTTGAATTATCTTAATCTGGGGGGGCAGGAGGCTGTGGGTCATACTTAAAGACTAACTTTTTTCGCAAACTTCAATTTAAATGCTGCTTACGCAGAACTTGTCTAAATAATGTCAGTATAAACACATATAAATTTGATGTGGGTCCCATGTCTAATAACTGGGATATGGGTGTGCCCAAAATCCACCAGCCGCCACAGTTTAATCCAAAAGTTTGGGGTTATATTACATTACAAGGTATTTTTTCTCCATCTGTAAGTATTATTGTTTTTATACAAAATCTTTCTTATTTTTTTTAATATCTGTTTCCCTCTTTTAAAAATTGTAACTAACAATTTTTGGAGAGAATTAAATTGGAAAATTTAAAAGGGAATTTAAAAAGAAACTATTAGATGGCATATTGAGCTTTATAAAGAATAATTATTTTATTATGTAATATAACTTGACGACACATTTTGGGAATGAAATGTAAATATAATACATTCCATGTCAGATAAAACAGTGCAATTCTTAATACTGACTCAGGTTTTTGATATTTTTACTGTAAATAATTTATAGGCTAGAATAAATACAAATCTCAATTTTAAAGGTTCTACGATAATTTAAACCGAGAAATTAAATATTGTAATTTTTTAATTTTCGGCAAAAGTTTTGTTTTTAGGGGATACTTTTTAAGCTGATTAAATTTTTTTTATCAGAATTTGTTTATCTTATATTGTTTACATATGTATAAACATTTAAAACATGTGATCCTGATTAAACAGGTCAAATTTTTTTGTTGATTTTATTTAACAAATTCAATGCTTATGCAAAAACAATAAAAGATACACAAATTCTAAATTCATTTTTCACCTATAAACAAACATTCACCTCAATACCTTGTACAGGGTGATCCCCTATAATGTTGCCCCCCTTTAACTTTTTTATTTTAAGTATCCCAAAAAATTTAAAAGTGTGGTTATGTAGGTACTAAAAAATACTTTTTTTCTACGTATAAAGAAAATTGGAAAATTGATCAGTATACAGGGAAAAACAAAAAAATATATATTTTTTTAATGGATCACCCTATATGTATATTTATTTTTCGATTCCTTGTAAAATTCTAAGCATATTTCATATAACATACCATATACCTAAATTCAACCGTTTCTGAAATATTTAAATTATTTTTAAGATAATAATTTAAAATAGTTTGTCTTTCTAAAAAAGACTTTCTCTGTCTGAGTACGCCATTTTTACTTATTTAACAAGACATATTGACATAATTTCACTATAGTAATTTATTTTCAATAAAAATTTTGGTATACTGAGGCTTCTTGATTTCTAACAGTTTAAAAAACATTTAATGATAACATTTTGAATACGAATATTTCAGAAACGGTTGAGTTTAGGTATATGGTTTGTTATATGAATTATGCTCAGAATTTTACAAGGAATCGAAAACTAAATTCATATATAGGGTGATCCATTGAAAAAAAATAAACTTTTTGTTTTTCCATTTTATTTATACATAGAAAAAAAGTTTTTTAGTACCTACATAACCACACTTTTAAATTTTTTGGGACACTTAAAATAAAAAAGTTAAAGGGGGGCGACATTATAGGGGATCACCTTGTACAGGTTAAGGAGTTAAGAAATTAAATACCTTATATAAATAACTTTAAAAATTCCAAGAATTAAATTCTCGGTATTTAATTATTGTTGAACCTTCAAGTTTAAGATTGGTGTTATCCTAGCCTATAAATCATTTACAAAAAATTTAGAAAAAATCCAAGAACTTTTTTTATAATTGTGTTTGATTTGACGTGAAATGACTGAATATAAACTAATTTTTTTGTTGGAAAATTTAAAGTTCTTAAATAATACCTTAAAATATTTTTTTATTCAAATAGAGTGTGTCCTATTTATGTTTGTCGTTAATGTGTTGTCTGTGTCTTTATTTGTTTATTATTTTCGCTTTTTATTGTCTGTCCTATATGTTTTAGGTCTTTTGCAAAGTTGTGATTATAAGCATATATGCGTTTACATTATTTCATAATACCTTAATAAAAAAAACAAACTAATTAAAAGAAGAAACAGTGAAACTAATAATTATTAGAATGTCTCGTTTAAAAGTATAGAACGCGTTAATTTTAAAAATTTCCCTCTTGTTATTAATCTTAACAACGTCTCGAGTAGTTTTTCCTTGCATAATAAGAATTACAGTCTCTTGAGCCTCTATTGCAATTACCTCGCTCATATTTCTTAACAGCGCTTGTCGCGAAACTTGGACTTGCGAGATCTATTTGTTATAAAGATTAATTCAAACCCAGTGTGTTTAAAGTTTAAGTGG